ATACCCAGCAGTGTTTGTGATACCCATCAGTGTTTGTGATACTCATCAGTGTCAGTTTGAAACTTGGTCGCTAAAGATTATAGTACTATACCTTATGACCCTGGGTCAAGTCCAGTCTGTTGAATTACCACGTGAACTTTGACCGCCTGGTCGTAGTGGGACCAAACCAGACAGGCCGGTAGGCGTCACCGTGGTATATCATTGCTACTTTGAACTATTGTCCCCGTTGTGACCTGATTTGTCCGATACAGTTAAACGTGAGCTAAAAGTGAAACAAAATCAAATTTGGCATCCAATTAAGGGTTCGTCCAATCTTTTGATGTGTTTTAGTAAAACCAACCAGAGGAATTTATTTAACAGCGTTTGTAAATTGCAAATTCAATGTTCATTATTCAGAGTACATTATAAACATCTATATACAAATGAACACATGTCTCCAGCAATATATTTTACCGGTCTGCTTTCATACCTGATTATTGGCTGTCATATCAACTTTTACAAATTTATGATAATATTTGTCACTTTTGGCCACCATTAGCGCTGCTTTAGGGGTAAGTTTTTCGTAAAAACTGCATTTAAACTATAGTACTGAAATGTACACGAAGTACACGGAAGGCAGAACACATTCTATATGCAATATGTATCAATTATTTTATCAAATACTTCTAGTCTTGCTAAACACTTCAGTGGTATGGTTTCTTATGTGGAGAACACGGTCACACAGTTCCAATTTCAGTACATTTTGCCAGGTTTGCACGTTGATCGAGAGCGTTACGGATAATTCACATGTTGAATGATATAGCATAAAACGCCTTAACTCTATTTAAGTAATATAGTAAATTGCGATTTTTTTTACGGAAATCTTAACTCTGACGCGGTAGTAATGTCGGTCAAAAAGTGTGTCTGTGATATCCGGCAGAGTGGTAGGTTGGTAGGTTGGCACCGTTGATCCGTGACAAATCTAAGACCTTACATCGTGTATGGCACGAGAGACTTAGTGTATTAGATTGAAATCATATTGAATATCTGATGATCTACGTGTACTCAGTTGTTTTATAAATAAATTACCTATCCAATAGACCACGGCAAGTAGAACATTAATTTCGAACTCTTTTTCTCGTACGGTCATTATAAAACAAATGGAGTTATCCAAGGATCGTTTTTACGCCATCTTTTATTTTAAGCATACATTTATGACGAGATTTTTGGGGACAATACAACTCATTTACGCATATCTTCTTCATATCGTTAAATAGAATCTGCTCTAAGAAGTAGATACAATTTTAAATACCCAAACTTATACTTTCCAGTAAAAATTCACCTTTCCTGGCCTACGCTTTTGAAATAATATTGATGTTCATATAATTAAAAACGATTAAAAAATCTATCATTCTATATCTCCAAATCCTTTTGGGTGTGATGAAAGAAAACTAATCATCATAAATACAAACTTAAGGTACACTGCATTTACCTAAATTAATATTTAGTTAGGTTCAATTCTGTTATTAGCCCTGCCTGTGTTGGAGGATATCATTGTGAAAGAGAATATCACTTCTTTTGGAAATATTTATAAAAACAAATGGTAGATTCATTACTCCTACAGGTAATTTTAATTGAGACTATTTGTATGTTTTCTTGTTTTGTTTTATTTTTCTGTTTTGTTGTTAATTATATTACCTTCTGTCTAGTTATGCTCATGTTTGTATCTGATGTATGCTAGTATATTGGAGGAACGGTTATTCATAGCGTTTATAGAGCTAGTGATCAATGGAGGAAAGGGCATTCATAGCGTTTATAGAACTAGTGACCAATGGAGGAAAGGGCATTCATGGCGTTTATAGAACTAGTGACCAATGTAGGAAAGGGCATTCATAGCGTTAATAGAACTAGAGACCAATGGAGGAAAGGGCATTCATAGCATTTATAGAACTAGTGACCAATGGAGGAAAGGGTATTCCTATAGCGTTTATAGAACTAGTGAACAATGGAGGAAAGGGCATTCATAGCGGTTATAGAACTAGTGACCAATGGAGGAAATGGCATTCATAGCGTTTATAGAACTAGTGATCAATGAAGGAAAGGGCATTCATAGCGTTTATAGAACTAATGACCAATGGAGGAAGGGGCACTCATATAGCGTTTATAGAACTAGTGACCAATGGAGGAAAGGGTATTCCTATAGCGTTTATAGAACTAGTGACCAATGTAGGAAAGGGCATTCATAGCGTTTATAGAACTAGTGACCAATGGAGGAAGGGGCATTCATATAGCGTTTATAGAACTAGTGACCAATGGAGGAAAGGGCATTCCTATAGCGTTTATAGAACTAGTGACCAATGGAGGAAAGGGCATTCATAGCGGTTATAGAACTAGTGACCAAGGGAGGAAAGGGCATTCATGGCGTTAATAGAACTAGTGACCAATGGATGAAAAGGCATTCATAGCGTTTATAGAACTAGTGACCAATGTAGGAAAGGGCATTCATGGCGTTAATAGAACTAGTGACCAATGGAGGAAAGTGCATTCATAACGTGTATAGAACTAGTGAGCAATGGAGGAAAGGGCATTCATACTGTTTATAGAACTAGTGACCAATGGAGGAAAGGGCATTCATAGCGTTTATATATCTAGTGACCAATGGAGGAAACGGCATTAATATAGCGTTCATAGAACTAGTGCCAAAACCTGTGTCAAAGTTTAGCCTATTCAAACTAAACTCAGTGGTCCATGATATCGCCAAACATTTTAATTTTCACATTTGCCAAATGGTAAAGATACGTTTCAATAAAAATAATTTCTTCGTGTTATTATTTACATTTTAAATACAGATGCATAATTTGCTATTGTGACACATTTTTACCGTGTCATCAATGCAGCAGTGGACATGCGGTGCGTTATATAAACGTCTTACTCCCGCGTGTCTTACCTTTATCTACAATGGTTTTAGCGATTTTTTAATTTTATTTCAAGAAAAAAATGAACTTGTTGTTAACAAGTTTCTATTGAAAGAAAAGAAAACGAATTAAGTATGAGAAAACGAAAACAGAAATATATCACTTTTATGGAAAATAGTTTGGTGTACCTCAAAGTTCGATGCTTTGTCTGTCGTTGTTGGTAGCTAAATTTGCTATAATTTACATAAAATCCGGTTTTCTATTCATTTCAAATTCTTTTTATACGATAATCACTACGAACGGGCATAGATATAGTGAATAAACCATAGGTGAAAAAAACAACACTTTAATCATTGCTTCATATTCAATGAGTAAATTCAATTTATTTTTCAATATCAATAACTAATAAAATGAGATTGAATGAATATACCATGTGAACAAATCGGAAGTTCATGCATAACCCATTGTGTACATGATCGAGGTGACCATAGAAGAGATCTGGGAGGTCAATGGCCATAAACAAACTTCAGTTCGAAGTGCATTTATGACTTTAACTTTGAAGTCATCTAGGTCTTTCTGTGTATTTGATAGATTTTGTCTTTGAGTTTCTTGAATTTGTAACCAACCTTAGGCAACTTAAACTAGTTCCTCTTTTGGGTTTCGTTTCGCTTGGTTTTTCATCCAAGGAATAACTTTGCCCCGACGAAAGATTTTCATTTTCTTTTTTAAATTTATATTTTTTAATTAATATACGTACTTTATCTGGTTACATTTAAATACAATTTAATTATTTTTTCTCCAATTTTTTTCATTTTGAAATAGGACACAACATTATAATTAACAATATCAATAACAAATGTCTCATGTTGTAATGGTAAAACGTGATGGGTGTAAGTCAAGTTGTGGTGCCAGCTGTTGTCCTGGGAACAGCTCGGAACACCATGTCTTTATCCGGATGGACCACAGCGTGTGTCCAGTCCACCACGAACCGAAGGTCCGGTGTCTCCTCCACCTGGCTAAAGTCAAAGTTATTCAGCAAGATTGCAATGGCCAATCGGATCTCCAGCCACGCTAAGTGTTGACCAATACACACCCGCGACCCAGCACCGAAAGGAATGTATAAGTTAGAAGTAGATTTTTTAGACTCATTTTCGTAAAAGCGGAAAGGTATGAATTCCGTTGAATGGCTCCATGCGTGCGGTGATCTATGTATCCCCCAGGTAAACACTAACAGGTCACTCTGAAATTGACCGACAAACAATATCATTGGCAAGTATGCAAAAGTAGACTGCAGTTGTTTTGCTAACACGACTGTAGTTGCTATGGAAATATGACTATAGTTGCTCAGGTTACACGACTGTAGTTGCTATGGAAACATGACTATAGTTCCTTAAACTAAACGACTGCAATGGAAACATGACTATAGTTCCTTAGGTAGCATGGCTTTAGTTGCTATGGAAACATGATTATAGTTCCTTAAGTAACACGACTATAGTTGCTATGGAAACATGACTATAGTTGTTATGGAAACATGACTAAAGTTGCTATGGAAACGTGCCTGTAGTTGCTAGGATACTCACATGTTCCTGAAGGTTGACCTTTCCTATAGTGATAGGGCCGTTGTTTTGTCTGCTGATGAATGGTGCTATAGGGTATAGCCGAAGTACTTCTTTCATGACGCTCTCTATTTTCGGTAGAGGAAAGTTCGGGTCTTTCCGTAAATTGTCGATATTTTCGTCAGCTTCTGCCTGGAGTTCCATCTAACGAAACGAAAAAGTATTGGAAATTGAATAGCAAAGGATGAATACTTTTTGAGCACTCGAAATAAAATAATTATTTTCTTATGTCTTTTTTAATGACAAGAGCGAAGTCGCATGAGAAAGGTTTTTTAAGTAGAATTATTACATTCATATGTTGCTGTAGCATTTTTATTTAACTTGAAAATTTTCAACATTAAATATGAAATATTTTCAGTATGTATTTAAATAATTTGAATACCGATTTCAATATTTAATAAAAAAAACAAAAAAACTGACTGAAACGTATCACATTTTGGGATTGAAACTGACCTTGCAGATAACAGAAATATATCAAAACTTATTTTTGCTGATTTGATTACCTGCACATGAGGATATTTGGTAAGCAGGTAAAATACAACAGGTAGGGTGGATGCTGTGGTTTCGGTGCCAGCCATCAGAAACAGCTTCATGTTGTCTTTAGCCTGAAAATATACAGCAGAGTCGAACATTGATATGAACTGTACTACAAAACTACTTTTAAGTAATGATTTGAATCTGTGAACTAACAGTTGTATATCAGTATCGTTAAGGCAGTGTTGATAAACCCAATGCATGTACCATCTTGAACAGAATTTGTTGAAACGAAAGTAAATAGATGGGAATATGTAAGTTTCAGGTTACCCCGACCGACCCTAGTTTATACCTCAGACCATAGTATACCAATTTTATTTCGCTCGAATGCACTTAAACCTCCCATTGAACGCGCCGAAAATCGTAAACTTTATAACCCGTCTGTATAGATAACCCGTCTGTATAGACAACCCCGTCTGTATAGATAACCCGTCTGTATACCGTCTGTATAGATAGCCCGTCTGTATACCGTCTGTATGGACAACCCGTCTGTATCGACAACCCGTCTGTATAGATAACCCGTCTGTATAGGTAACCCGTCTGTATACCGTCTGTATGGACAATCCGTCTGTATAGACAACCCGTCTGTATAGATACCCCGTCTGTATAGGTAACCCGTCTGTATAGACAATCCGTCTGTATAGATAACCCGTCTGTATAGGTAACCCGTCTGTATAGACAACCCGTCTGTATACCGTCTGTATGGACAACCCGTCTGTATAGACAACCCGTCTGTATAGATAACCCGTCTGTATAGATAACCCGTCTGTATAGATAGCCCGTCTGTATACCATCTGTATGGACAACCCGTCTGTATAGAGAACCCGTCTGTATAGGTAACCCGTCTGTATAGATAACCCGTCTGTATACCGTCTGTATAGATAGCCCGTCTGTATACCGTCTGTATGGACAACCCGTCTGTATAGATAACCCGTCTGTATAGACAACCCGTCTGTATAGATAACCCGTCTGTATAGATAACCCGTCTGTATACCGTCTGTATAGATAACCCGTCTGTATAGGTAACCCGTCTGTATAGACCGGCATCAAAACCCATATTTTCTATGTTCTCGCTCCGTCGTTTTAGTCGAGAACACAAAAGCTAACGTTTGTCCTCAGTTCAATAATAAGATATTTGCGAAACAAAACAAAAATATCCCTTAAATCATTGAATTGCGATAAGAGTGCGACCTACTTGTTCGAAGCCACAAGCTTCGTGAAGCTGGACGACTAGCCTCTTGTCCTCTCCAGTCTGGTCGTCCTCGTTGAGAGCGTCCTCTAGGATCTGTGACGTCAGACTGTCCAGATTCTCAGCAGCCTGGATAAATTCGGTACTGTTACTGGTGATTTCCGCTAAGGCGTAACATCTAGGGGCAGAAGTGGTTTTTTTAAATGCCGTAAATAGGTCCAGAAGAAAAAAATCCCCCTTTTCATTATCACCTGTATGCATTACCCCCATCAAAAGAATTTTACGAATTCTGAATCGCTATGTATTTCTTTGTTCGTTAACGCTGTATTTCATTCTTACTGCTCCAGATCTATTTACACCTTTTGGAATGTTTCCATGGTATTGCTTATTTCATCTTCAATATATGTTTTCTTAAGAGTGACGTAAGGTATGTCTTCTTTTCAGAAATGATTTATCAAAGTTGCTGCTAACCTTGATTTTTTCCCAAAAGAATATTTTTAGTTTCGGCAGTGGTACAGGGATCTTTATACTAATGTGTTGTATACCTGTGCAGAATGGTCATCATGGCATCCAGCAGCCGATCCTGTCGACCGTTCAGTCCCCCAAGGTCAAGATGTAATAACACATGGCCAACCACGTCTAAGGCAAGTCTTAAGCTGAACTGGGTGATATTGACCGGTCTTGACCTACTACTGACCTCTCGTATATTCTGACACAAAAGGTCAAGGTCACGGATCATGACCTGACCTCTTTCGTCTATAGATGTTTTACGGAAGATTGACGCGATAGCACGCCTTGTTTCTGGACTTTTTTGAGAAGATCCTAAAAACGTGTCTTTCAATGGAGAATCTTCTAGGTAATTATCTGCTCCTTTATCAAGCTTATTGATAGCGGTTTGTGCTATCCTCTCCTCGAATAGGTATATTTTCCCCTCATATCTGTATAAGCCGTATTTATGATAAAACTGACAAAGGTATTCTAGTTTCTTCAGTTTGTCGTCTCCAAACAGTTGGTGAAGAAGTGTTTTGACAACAGATCCCGTCTCTGGTATGGTGGTTCTGTAAAACTGCAATAGAGCAAGGTGCCAAATGTGTAAGGAAATACGCTATTCTCTTTCTGATGTTTATCGAATTTGATGTAAATAACGTTGTTTTATTGTTTGCAATGTTGTAATATTTTTGGATACCAGCGTTTCACACGTCAAACTTCATATAGAAACTTACTGAGGTTTCCGTTTAATCATTTTAGAATTAAAAGAATGAAAATATTTACAGATCATTGTATATACTATAAAAATTTGAATAAGTTATTCTTACTGAAGCCTCTTCAGGATCAGTTCTTTCAATTCCATGCCTCTTTGATGACAGCGGTATTGCTTGCATTGTGTTCAGATTTGGAACTTAATAAGTATTCTTAAGTTATTGACCTATTTGTAAATAAATTGTTTATGCTACCACCTTTCTATATTAACCACTTGTATATAACTACCACCTGTCTGTAACAACAACCTGTCTATATTGACCACCTGTATATGACTATCGCCTGTCTTTAGTTACCACCTGTATATAACTACCACCTGTCTGTAACAACAACCTGTCTATATTGACCACCTGTATATGACTATCGCCTGTCTTTAGTTACCACCTGTATATAACTACCACCTATACATAACTACCACCTGTACATAGCTTCCACCTTAACGTAACTACCACCTGTACATAACTACCACCTGTATATAACTACCACCTGTACATAACTACCACCTGTACATAACTACCACCTGTACATAATTACCACCTTTATATAACTACAACCTGTACATAACTACCACCTTTACATAACTACCCATGGCTATAACTACCACCTGTACATAACTACCACTTGTACATACCTACCACCTTTACAGAACTATCACCTGTCTATACCTACCACCTGTATAAAACAAACACCCGTCTATAACCTGACTACCGTTTGTCTATAACTTCCAGCTGTCTATAAAAATTACATATCTGTAACTACAAACGGTATGAAATAACCATCTGTCTATAACTTACAACTGTCTATATACTACCACCTGTCTGTAACCACCACCTGTATATAACTACCTCATGTATATAACTACCACATGTATATAACTATCACCTGTCTATAACTACCTCATGTATATAACCACCACCTGTCTGTAACTACCTCATGTATATAACTATCACCTGTCTGTAACCACCACCTGTATATAACTATCACCTGTATATAACCACCACCTGTATATAACTACATCATGTATATAACTATCACCTGTCTGTAACCACCACCTGCCTATAACTAGTATAAAACCACCCCCTGTCTATAACTATCACGTGTCTCTAACCACCACCTGTATATAACTATCACCTGTATATAACTATCACCTGTCTATAACTACCACCTGTATATAACTATCACCTGTTTTAACTAATACCTGTCTATAACTAGTATAAAACCACCCCCTGTCTATAATTACCACCTGTCTCTAACCAGCACCTTTCTATAATCACCACCTGTCTAAACATATCACCTGTGTTAACTACCACCTGTCTATAACTAGTATAAAACCACCCCCTGTCTTTAATTACCACTTGTCTATGATTACCACCTTTATATATATTACCTGTCTATGCTACAACCTGTCTATAACACCACCTGTCTGTAACTACCACATGTCTGAAACTACCACCAGTGTATAACTACCATCTATTGAAACTACCACCTGTCTTAAATTACTACCTGTCTATACCAAAAGTTGACTAACTACAGCTTGTCTGAAACTACCACTACGACATGTCTATAACAACCAACTGTCTTTAACTTAGTTGGCGTAAATGTTTAGCCAATCATGTATTCAACTTTGCGTTAAAACTTTCTGTTCTTAATCCACCTATCTGAGTCCGTGGTTTCACAAACCCAAATATCTCTTTCATAGGAAATTAAAAAAGAAGTACTTACCAGGTAGTTGATGTATTTTAGAATGTACAGTACAGCATGCACAAGTATGTTGACCACAGCTGCCGCCATCTTGTTTGTCAGAAACTATGGACGGTAAACAGAGGAATGTAATCGCCGCCGGCTCTTCATTCTCAGGTAAGATAACGATTCACGGTTCAGGTGCGATAACAGGAGATGGTATCATATCCATTTCTCACAAACATCTTTCAACATGGCGGACGACTCGGCTCTCCTCACTGACGCCATTACAAGCTACGACGGTATCTTCAAGGGTATCCACGACCAAGAAGTTCGGAATGACTTTCACAATGTGAGGAACCTACTGTCTTCTGGGAAATGGGATGCAGGTAAAAATCTTCTCTTGGAAGCTTTAAATAAGTCATCTGCACAACCACTAGACAAGAAATGTCTGACACTCATCATGAGCGAATTTAGAAGATATGAGAAAAATAAGATTCCGCCCGGTACTCCAACAGCCAATGTTATTTCGTGGGAGCACGTTGTTGACAGAAGTTTGGAGCGCATGAATGAACCAACGTGTGATTTGCCTCAAAGTGTGTTTTTCCTCAACGTAGGAGTATCCGGTTTATCGGGATCACGGAGATTAGTCGGAAGGAAGATTCTGTCGGATTACTGGATCGCCGGGAAGATTCCGGAACTGCACTGTAGCTTGGTGACTTCGGATATGGTTCTGGGCCTGTTTTGTGATGAGCGCATCACCGAAAATGAAGTACAAGTTAATTATTACCCAATGAACAATTCCGAGAAACTCAGACTGTTCGCAGATATCATGGAAGGAGACTCGTCCAATGTCGAGATTATCTGCCCCTTCCCCCTCCTTAGGGAGTCCACAAGAAAGGAACTATGTTCCCCGGCGGAAGGATGGAAGGTTGATGACAGTTATGACGCAATGCTCAGCTGTGGTGAGGAAAGGATCAGGCAATACACAATTCAGTTCCTGGATAGCGTTACCATGACAGCAGGGAGGTTGTATGATCCAGCCTGTTCCACGGGAGTGTTCCTGTCCACCCTGAAGAAAGCCTTTCCGGAAAGTCACACCATCGGTCAAGATTTAAGTCAACAAATGGCTGATTTTTCTAAACAACGAGTCGACGAAGTGTATTGTGGTAACGCAATGTTTCCAAAAATACAAACCGGAACTGCTGATGTGTGTTTCGTTCGTTTCCTGAACTCAGAGGTTGTCACTTCCGCTGAGGCTGAGGTCCTTCTGGCCGCTTTGCTGCCGACAGTCCGTGAGAAGGGATTCATTGTCACATTCGGTCATACTCCGGTTCTCCTGTCATCGTCTAATTTCAGGCGATTGTCGAACTTTAGTCTAATTCAGTCGGTCGGTGTTTCCACTGACAAAGCCGGGATCTTTCAATATTACATCATTCAACGTGATGTTTCATTGATGACGTAATGACTGTATCGTAAATCTGCTTATGGAAAAAGTCTTTGATTGAATAAAATTAACAAAACAGTTTTACTTGATTTTGTGTTTTGTATAAGCTTGACCCTAATTACAACGTACCTGGTCCGTCATGAAATAGTTTTAAACCCAAAAGGCAACATATTAAAAACAAAATCCAAACAACTTTAAAAACGGTTAATTTTGGTGAAATCATTCATTTCATATTGACAATATGTTTATGTAGGCAAATTTGCCTTTTGATAAGAAAATGAAGAAGTGAAGAAGAATTCAAAATTGGACTTAAGGCTGTATGCTAACTTATCGCGATATGCATTTCCATTATATATCAAGTATGCATTGTAACTTGAACTTGGTTAATTCCTTTCGAAATAACACTCGGGTAATTAAATGTTGAGAAGGGAGGTAACCCATTTACAAATTGTATGCAGAATGTGTTAGGTAACATATATTCTTAAGTATATCTACGATTATATTAATGATATCTTTTTGATCTGTTTGATCTATTGGTTCAAACTGAGCAGAAGATTAGACACAAGTTATCGACGTCTGTTCCCTTATACAGTATCTAATAGTAGAAAGATAGCATTTAGCATAGCTAATTCGCTAAATTGTTATATACACTCACATTTAAAGGGGAAATTGTGTCCATTCTCATATCTTGGATAGTCACTGACAATATGAAGTCGAAAATCTATAAGAATCAATGAAGTTTTTGGGAAATTTTGAACTTTTTATAAAACGTGACAAATAGGAGCGGTTTTAGTTATTTTTACAAATTGTTCTTAAAAATAGTAAACTGATGTGTAAACGGACCGAAAATTAGGGAAACCCCAGTAATGACAGGTTTTATTTATCTTTTCAATTATTTATTTATTTATTGCTTAATGAATATCTTTTACTTTACCTAATAAACAAACCATAGACGTTTTAAATTGGGGATGCAGCCATGCCGACAATCTTAAACGATCCCCCTTATTCGACATGCATCTCCATTCTCAAATTATCTTCAAACTAAGAATGACGTTAATTATTTTGACCTATGTCATAAAAAACCTGATAGTTTGGTAATGTATTGCGCTACAATAAACATAAAATGTCTCAGTTTACTTTACTTTGCTGCGATGTGATGTTTTAGTGTTTGGCATACATTAATATTGTCATTATGGTGATAGCAGGGAATACGTAAGGTACCGACACTAATCAGGGAACATTAATGACACATTCTGTGGATAACCTGCGTAAGTATAGTGAACTTTTAGTAAACTTAGGCGCCATCGATAGCGCGGTTGGGTGAAGAAATCGGTATCAGCAGTCTGGGTAATACTACATGTGTGATTGTTGCGCTTGGAGTCCAGCATTTGGCGGATTGGAACGGATTATTTTGATAAAGAGACTTAATGTATTCGTTATCTCAATGTCAATTACTCACATCCTCGCCTTTACGTAACCACCTACTTACTTATCTTACCCCACAAGCCACGTTATCAGAGACATGGAAACGAAGAGATACGACATGTATTCCTCAAAAAGTGACCTAAATGTGTAGGTGTGGGTGTGTTGTTCTTTTCTGTTCCTATTTTTTATCTTCATTTTATCTATTTCTTTTTGTCTGGTGTCATGTGTATGTCATTTAGAGAAAAAATGCTTTTTTTTTCTCTTCTTTTTTTTTATCTATTTTATACGTCATGTTTTTGAGGCTCATTCGCCAGTAATGCTATATCGTTAGAAAAATCACTTTGTCCTAAATCGGTTTTATGAATTTATGAATAGATTACAATGACAAAAAAATAAATATTCATGGACGATAGTTTGTTAAGTTTAATACCTGCTGCTGCACCGGGTTACAATTTTTTTCGGTAAATTCTGTTACCCACAAAATACCTTAGTTGTACGTACTGTTACGGTACATGGCGATCATGACCTCTTCCATGCTTCGCCCTGGAGGGAATTTCTCTTTGGCTCAGTTGGAAGAGCGACGGAAGGATCCCTCGGTCCTACACTAGACCACTCTTTCCTGTGACAAACTGATGGCTGTGGCCGTCTCTGTGGTGGTCACAGGAAGCTACCGCACTTAAATTGAAGGGAAGTCCCGAATTATTCTGTCGCTTTTTTTATTTTTTGGGGGTTTTTTCAAACATTTTACTGCCCCAGCACATTTAGGATACTGCCGAGGTTGGGGAGCCCCGGGATCAGCATCTTCACAATCATGTGTCCTCATACAAGAGGGCTATCATACTTTCTTTCATACTTACTAGTAATTATATCATTATTTCTTTATTTTTTCACTGCCTTATTTAATATTTTCATATACAGGGACGCTGATGTTGTTTCCCATTACTGTAAATTCTAACATTCTGCTTTTGTTTATTTTACATGTTGACATTGCTGAATTTATCTTTTCCCAAAACGTTTTTAAATAGGAGCATTCTACAAAGTAACGCTTGTAGTCTTCCCATTTCCCACAATGTTTACAATTTGGGGTGTTGGAAATTTTGCATTTTTGAAGTTGTTGCTGTGTAGGAACTATTTGATTAATGAGTTTATATTTAAATTGAACAATTTTGTTATTGTGTATTTTCTTGAATATGAATTCTGTTATTTCAGACCATCTTGATTTTCTTATAGATGTATCAAATGTTTTATTCCACGCTTCATATATATAGGGTTTGATAAATTTCTGTTTTATTAATATGCCGTAGGAAGTTTTGCTGTTTAGCTGTTCTATAGAGATTGTTTTATCGGTAGTGCTGGCTAAAACTTTCAATTGTGTTTTGTAGGGTAATGTTGGGTAGGGTGTAAGTTTGAGTTTATTCATCCATTCCTTCGGTATAGCCTGTTTTAGTTGGGTTAGTTCTGACGTCCAGTTTCTTTTGTTCTTTAAGCTTGGTAAAATCTTTATTTGAGAGATGGAACCATTCTCAAAAATATCATCAATTTGGCGGATTGGAACGGATCATTTTGATAAAGAGACTTAATGTATTCGTTATCTTAATGTCAACTACTCACATCCTCGACTCTACGTAACCAACTACTTACTTATCTTAACCCACAAGCCACGTTCTCAGAGACATGGAAACGAGGAGATACGACATGTACCTTTATTAACACTTAATCATTGGGAACAGGCATGTGTAATACGCAGGCGCGGCTCCAGCATGTTACGTAAGGGAGGAGGGGAAATCAGCATGTATACATTGATTTTATTTTTGAGTACCGATAACAGACTAATCAAAGTTACCGATTAGTTTTAATTTCAGGATATTATTAAAAAGATGGAAAAGAAAGGAAAAAAGTTTGCACTTGTCCCTTGTGAAACTTTTAAGGGAACATTATGTCAATTTTAAGAGAAAAGAAAATTCAAAAGAACAAAAGGACAAACATGAAAGTCAAATAGCGAGTATTAGTAGCATATAGAGTGTGCGCTATCGGAAAAATGAGGACGTACTCCTCTGAAATGTCAAAAAGGACCTGTTACAGGAACAAAAGAATTTTGACCACAAAGCAATTTAACCATAACTAGGTTATATTTGTAGCTCCCTAAGACACGACCCATGAGATATTTCATTTTTTTAAATAAAAAGGTCCCCGGAACTTATGACCTATTTAGTGCCGCCCTCCTAAGGTGTACGACAGGTTTCACTTTTTTGTCCAAATAACTATCAAAACAATGTTTTACGTTATCAAATAATAATATATTGGTTAAAGTAGGATCTGCTGCAAATTATGAACTGAAATATGTAACAAAACATTGCATGATAAAAAAGTTCTACAATCTTAAACTCTGAAAATGTTGGTATTTTCATACACTTTTGCTATGTCAAATTTTTACGATAATGACACACAAACTTCCGGTTCTTGTACACCAAAAATCTTTAAATAGTACTTGGTGCATTATATTGAGATACGATGGTGAAAATTTCAGAAAATTTGAGAACCGGTAAATTTGTCATATAAAATTGTTGCAACGTCTATTTCCAAATAAAACCCAATAACCTTATGACTATAGTCATTTTTGATCTTTTAACAATACGTCGCACCAATTTATTACCGCAACTGATAAAATTGTCATCAGAACAGTGTGCTGCTCATAACTAAAAAGCAAGATGTTGCAAAATAAAAACAGTTATGCAGTCTCACACACAACAGTTTAGTATTTAATTTTTTAAGGAAATTGAAAAACTAAAATCATTAAGTGATAATATTGATACCGGTTCTAATAATTGACGTCCTAGCCCTTTCCTTATGTTACAAAAGTGCCAAAAACTCACGGCCTTCACCTTTATCTTATGTAATAACGTTATCTAAGTAGCGGAGATATAACCTCGTGCGCACGTGAACACGTGTGTTATACGTCACTTCAGGGGCTGACAATCACCAGTATCTATATTCTGACGTAAACACTGACCGAATCGACGACAGAAAAGGTAAGCTTTTTATTTTATAAACATATGAAGTCTCTCTTTTACAGATTGTTTTGTCGTTTTTCAAATTCAATACATATTCCAAGTATCGAAGCTCGTTCGATTTTAATGTCAGATTCGTTTCAGTTTTTAATGTGGTATCATAAAACTTAGGTTTATTCATCTTGCCTGAATTTATCTTGCTCTTCCACTAGACATTCCTTACGTTAGGGTGGAGGGGGGAGGGGCGTTATTTTCATTATTTTCGGGATAAATTTGTCTGTTTTACGTTGCAAATATTGTAGTTAAGGTCATAGGAGTGTATTGCTAAACGGAAATAGGAAGTACATCCCTAGTTGAAAATCCAATGTAGGGAGACAGTATCACAATTTCCGCATATTCTAATGTTTAATATTAAACTGATGAATATTGTATGCTTATTATTGACAGAACAGTGTGTTGAATCCAGGCATTAATTCAGTTGTTTTTAATCAATGAGTCACATGTGTCCATTTTTCTGTACTTCAGGGAACCGGCTACCTATTGCACTACTGTGAAGTTATTCAAGAACGATAACTCTTGCGTGCAATTACTATGTGTATATGGTTTTATTATAAAATGTGAATTTTTAATCGTTTATAGATGATTAATTTTACACAATTTCAGCATTTATGAAATTGATATACATTAATGCAATACTAATCTATGTTATCATCATGTTTATCGACATTATTTTGCCAAAAAAATGTGTGTTTCAATTTCTTTTCAAAATTCACTCCTTTTTACATAAATTTCCATTTAAAATCCTTAAAATTCTGACAACCTATATTTTTTTTGTGGCAGAAAATTTTCTTTACTTATATACAATATAACTACAAAATTTTAATATATTCTATTGAGAAATGGCGACACAATCCTATTACCTTAATTTCTTAACCGGATCAAATTCTAGAACCAATCCAGAGCTTTAGATGTAGTTCTCGCATTTTTTTGTACGTTTTATTCAAAATCAATTCCAGCAAACATTGAATATATGCCGTCAGATCCAGCGCAGTTTCACTTTTAAGATTTGGCTTGTCTGAGTGCTATTTTCGTGCTGAAATCCGGATGTATGTCGAAAGAATGAATGGTTTAGCATTTTGTTAAAGATAATTTGAATGTATTGTTAATATGATATATCAATGCGGGAAATTTCCTCGTTACATCGCGAGTTTTCCAATGCTTTCACAACAATAGAGTTCTTTTCCCTTATGTATATACAGTATAATCTGTCTAAACCGGCCCCTGTTCAATCCGGATCCCTGTCTAAACCTAGTGTGTTTTGTGGTCCCGGCATATTCCCTATATAATCATATTAGTTAAACCCTGTATAAACCAGACCCTGTCCATTCCGAAAACCGGCGTTGGTTCACAAAAGTTGGCATAGCAATCCATGTAAAAACAACCTGCTCATTCCGGTCCTGAAATTTCTCTCGGCCGGCTACACTCTAAAGCAAACACATTCTAAACAAATTAGCGCTATCAAATGTTAGGTCGCCCTTCATTTGTATCATCATACACTTAATAATTTGTTAATACTTAAACGTTCCAATTGATTCCTATCTCTGTTGTTTATGTTTACACACTTGCATATAGAGAGAGTATGCAAATCATTACATTTTTTTTTCTTTCAAAAAATGATATGCCGACCCTGTATAAACCGGACACCTGTGTAAACCGGACAAATATTTTGGTCCCTGTGATATCCGGTTTAGACAGGTTATACTGTTTACAAAAACAAATGAATAAATATAAATGCCACCGATAACTTATCGGAAGTACAGGACTTATCACTAGTCCAAAGAACCTATAGGGAGAAGAGGTGTAAAGAACAGACTGTTGACACAGGTATCTAGAATTCAATTTCTCGTGGATTTTCCCGAAAATTTAGCCCGATATTGTGTACTCTTTTGGCAACACTTGATCAACATTTTGAACATTTTGAAAAAGCATGTTCAAAATGTAAGTCATTCAAACGTTTTTGTTCTATATCTCATGCGCTGTATCAACCAATCATCTGATGACGCTATATTATTTATGTTTGAAGCAATTATAATGAACTGTCAGTTGAAATTGAAATACTCGTTTTCTCTAATGCCTTTTGATGTCCGGGTGAAGCGGTGTAAGGTTGCTTTTTTGGTCTTTTAAAGAGGTGGACATAATTCTTTTTGTTTTTGCTATTCCTCAAAAAGTGACCTAAATGTGTAGGTGTGGGTGTGTTGTTCTTTTCTGTTCCTATTTTTTATCTTCATTTTATCTATTTCTTTTTGTCTGGTGTCGTGTGTATGTCATTTAGAGAAAAAAAGCTTTTTTTTCTCTTCTTTTTTTTATCTATTTTATACGTCATGTTTTTGAGGCTCATTCGCCAGTAATGCTATATTGTTCGAAAAATCACTTTGTCCTAAATCGGTTTTATGAATTTATGAATAGATTACAATGACAAAAAAATAAATATTCATGGACGATAGTTTGTTAAGTTTAATACCTGCTGCTGCACCGGGTTACAATTTTTTTCGGTAAATTCTGTTACCCACAAAATACCTTAGTTGTACGTACTGTTACGGTACATGGCGATCATGACCTCTTCCATGCTTCGCCCTGGAGGGAATTTCTCTTTGGCTCAGTTGGAAGAGCGACAGAAGGATCCCTCGGTCCTACACTAGACCACTCTTTCCTGTGACAAACTGATGTCTGTGGCCGTCTCTGTGGTGGTCACAGGAAGCTACCGAACTTAAATTGAAGGGTAGTCCCGAATTATTCTGACGTTTTTTGTTTTATTTTTTATTTTTTTTGTTTTGTTTTTTCAAACATTTTACTTCCCCAGCACATTAAGGATACTGCCGAGGTTGGGGAGCCCCGGGATCAGCATCTTCACAATCATGTGTCCTCATACAAGAGGGCTATCATACTTTCTTTCATACTTACTAGTAATTATATCATTATTTCTTTATTTTTTCACTGCCTTATTTAATATTTTCATATACAGGGACGCTGATGTTGTTTCCCATTACTATAAATTCTAACATTCTGCTTTTGTTTATTTTACATGTTGACATTGCTGAATTTATCTTTTCCCAAAACGTTTTTAAATAGGAGCATTCTACAAAGTAATGCTTATAGTCTTCACATTTCCCACAATGTTTACAATTTGGGGTGTTTGAAATTTTCCATTTTTCAAGTTGTTGCTGTGTAGGAACTATTTGATTAATAAGTTTATATTTAAATTGAACAATTCTGTTATCGTGTATTTTCTTGAATATGAATTCTGATATTTCAGACCATCTTGATTTTCTTATAGATGTATCAAATGTTTTATTCCACGCTTCATATATATAGGGTTTGATAAATTTCTGTTTTATTAATATGCCGTAGGAAGTTTTGCTGTTTAGCTGTTCTATAGAGATTGTTTTATCGGTAGTGCTGTCTAAAACTTTCAATTGTGTTTTGTAGTGTAATGTTGGGTAGGGTGTAAGTTTGAGTTTATTCATCCATTCCTTCGGTATAGCCTGTTTTAATTGGGTTAGTTCTGACATCCAGTTTCTTTTGTTTTTTAAGTTTGATAAAATCTTTATTTGAGAGATGGAACCATTCTCAAAAATATCATCAATTAGTAGTATACCTGAGTTAATCCAGTTAGTAAAAATTAGTACTTTATTTTTGATTTTGATATGTTTGTTTCCCCATATTGGTTGTTTTCTTATTTCCAGCTGATTGAGATAATTTTTCGTTTGTCCTCCACCCAGTGTAATCCAAGCTTTTATAACTTCCTGATAAAATAATGGTGTTTCTTTTATTTTTGGTAGAGATTTAATTTGGTCTAGATTCATTTTAAAAATAAGCAGGTCTTTCCCATATTTGTTTAAATAGTAGTTTGGTATGATTTTCCAGTTCGCAAGAGTGTTTTCTTTTATTAGAGTTTTGACCCACTTTATTTTTAGATTTGTAAAATATGCTTCCAAGTCTGGAAAGTTTATCCCTCCAGATATCACTTGTCCAATTAGGGTTTTTCGTTTAATTTTTTCTCTTTTCCCAGACCATAAGAAGTTGTACATAGTTTTCTCCAGTTCTATTATTACTTTTTTGGGAATTATCAAAGATTGTGCAAGGTATGTAAATTTGGGTAATATAATACTTTTAATAATTACTGTTTTACCAATAAAAGTTAGATCTCTTCTTTGCCACATATTGAGACATATTTTTGTATTTGTAATTTTTCCATCCCAGTTAAGCTTTTCACATTCATTTTTTTTATTACTGAAATATACCCCTAGTGACTTTATTGGTTCTTCTGGCCAGTTTATTCCGCCTATCTTTATTTTAGAATTTTTTAGTTTTCCAATCCAAAGACCATCAGTTTTGTTTCTATTTAATTTTAAGCCTGATACCTCCCCAAATTCTAATACTATTTGCAACGCTATTGGTATGTGGTGTGGTGAACTTATAAACAGGGTGGTGTCATCTGCTAACTGGCTTATTTTTTGTTCTTTCAAAAACCCCTTTACTTTTATCCCTCTTAAATTGTTGTTATTGCGGATATTAAGGGCTAGGATTTCAACTATGGCTACGAAAATTAAAGCCGAGGCCGGACAACCCTGCCTTATGCCTCTTTCTATTTTAAAAAATTTTGATTTCCACCCATTGTTTAACATACAACTAGAACTATTTGAATACAAAGTGTTTATCCATGAGATGAAAGAGTTATTAAATCCAAATGTTTTTAAAGTTTTAACCATAAAGTCCCACTCACATGTGTCGAAAGCTTTTTTGAAATCAAGGAAAAGGATTGCCCCCTCTATATTTAATTGGTCTGCATAATCAATGATATCTTGTGTTCTACGGATATTATAACCGATATATCTATTTGTTAAGTAACCTTGTTGATCCAAGCTAATGATGGATGGTAATACTTTTTGAAGACGTTTTGCCAATACATACGCTGACGTTTTATTGACTTTTTTTATATCGGTCTGTCGTCGGTTAATCGACGACAGACCGATATAAAAAGTCGATAAAACATCAGAATAATTCGGACTAATTGAAGGGGTATACAATAGAAGAATACAGCTTTAAAAAGTGGAAACGGGGTGAGGTCGGGGGCGTGCATATATTCGTGGTTTCCTTAAAATTCGTGCAATAAAGTATGTTTACGCTTTGCAGCGTTAGCTATATCATTTTAGTAAAGTTATCACCCCTATTTACAAACGCAACGCTAGAACTGATAAGTATCCAAGTTTCTTTTACGCTTATCATGTATATTGAATGTGGCACATTGCACCTCTGTAATCTCATGCACAATTTCGTATTTTTTTCTGCGAATGCTCGGGAAAGTTTAACTTCCTATCGCGGTGAAGTCGAAGTGGTGCAATAATATAGTCTTGGTATTCTGTTGTATTTTATTCATTTTTCGCTAATTGTGTAGTGTGTATGTTGTATCAGCGACGTGCCGCATAAGGTGTATCTGTATTTTGCAATGTCATGTTATTAATCTGCTTCTCCGGTAGGTAACAGGAGGCCCACTGGAACCCCCACTCCCTTCCCCCTGTTTATACTCAGAGGATAGATTAATTGGGTGATTGGGATGGGTTTCTGTCCAAGGCCAAATGGATGATATGGATCCTTCATTTCATTTGTATCGTAAATAATACTTTTATTAAAAGATGCCTTTGGTGTAACTTAGTTATGATATAGTAAATAAATATAACAGTACATTGGATCCAGACAGGTAGCACTGAACTGTGCTGAGTTGTTCTCAAATCAAATAATTAGATCTCAGAATTTAAAAATAGTTAACAAATTCACTGTTTAAAAAATACTAAAATTCCAGGTTCCAAAATTGGTTGTCTCCCTCCAAAATTGGGAGTGTTGGCAAGTATGGAAACTGCACTGTAGATATCCTTTAGATATATTTAGAGCAGGAAGTATATCCACCTTTTGGGGTAATGTCTGAACATGTAGTAAATGAACCAATGTAAAGGATCCAATGTAATATGTGTAAGGATCAGCCTATCCGACTGTAATATCAAAATGAGTTGATAGCAAAATGACAATAGATCATAATTTGAGAAGTGCATAATGATTATTTTGCTGAGGTAAATTGCACTGGTAAAATCTTAAACTATAATGGTTTTTAAAAAATTGTACAGGCATGAAGTGGAAGAATTCCGCATGCATACAAGGACAAAATGCATTACACCTCATGTCTTCAAATGGAAAAAACTAAGAAATCTGAAAATGAATTATTTCGGTATTGAATGGGATGTAATAGTTTATCATTTAGCCATTATTTACTTTCGGCATACCCTTGGGTTAGCTATTCGGAACCTTACTTTCTGAAACCATCTAATTTCAATTTCATCATAATTATTCCAACCAAGTTTTAATTATTTCTAGCTGAAAGTGGACAAATTGTACCCATAAGTGTTATTTCCTTATGCTTCCTTATATTCATATATACCTGGTATCTACTAAAGGGTATTTTTCCATAAACTTTCCAGTTGACATGAGGAAGACAGAAAATTGGTCAGAATGCATACATTCTTAAAGCTTTAAGAATCTTATTTTTTTTAGTTTCAGCTTGAAATAAATGTATATACATGTGTTCATATTTTATATTGTTTTAGAGTTGTAATTAATACATAACATCTATTTATCTTACCTAAAAACCGCACACAATGAGTGACACTTGCATAAGACTGATATTTCAGAAATTATGAAAAATATAAAAAAAAATATGAAAGTTACACTTATTGTTAATTCAATGTGCCATATTCATGTTTATTACTTAATATCATTATTTTCCCTAGATGGCCAAGACTGCGCTGGTGATAGGGGCCGGAGTGGCCGGATTGTCGGCGGTCAAGCATTGTCTGGACGTGGGGATTGAGCCAATATGCTTCGAGAAGGATACGGACATAGGCGGTCTCTGGAATTACCATGACTGGTCCAAAGATGGCGACCCAAGCTTGTACAACTCCTGCAGCATAAACACCAGTAAGGAGATGACGTGTTACAGTGACTTCCCGATCCCAAAGGAGTTCCCAAACTTCATGGGGCATAATCACTTTAGAAAATACCTCAATCTTTACGCAGACAATTTCAACTTGAGAAAGTATATCAATTTTAGCCATCTCGTAGAAAGAGTAAAACAGGCTGACGATTTCGACGACACCGGAAGTTGGGTGACGTCAGTAAAGAATATAAACACTGGCAAGTCGCAAAAAGTGAAAACTGACTTTGTACTCGTGTGTAACGGACATCTCAACATTCCAAACGTGCCGACATTCGTAGGACTTGAAAAGTTTAAGGGCAAGGTCATACACACACACGACTACAAGGACTTCCGGGGATTCGAAGGAAAGAGAATCCTAGTGGTGGGGATAGGAAACTCTGGGTCAGACGTCGCCTGCGAGCTGAGTCGTCATACCGAACATGTTAGTACCGCAGTAAATTTTATATTCAAATCAAGATTATGATAAATCAGTAAAATATTTGTTTTGTGTAGCTTATTAAGTAAAATGGTACATTTTCCTATCATTATCACGAGTTTAAGTCGACATTTTAGTGAGTAATTTGAGTGCAGCTTAGAAATGAGCAGGTTGAAAGGTAACTTCCTCTTTGGGTTCTAAATTTGATAAGGCTCAACTATTTTTTTTATGAATAATGTAAACAAGACAGTTATCTACCTATCATGTAGAGCGAAGATTTCTGTTTTGGTCATAGTTCTAAGTGTACTTATTTTGTTGTTGTATATTTTGCAGGTATACATAGCCAGCCGACGAGGGACCTACGTGATCTCGAGAGCCGCAGACTACGGTATTCCCTTCGACCATCTCGCCATCAACCGATTTTCCCAGAGCCTACCTTGGAGTCTCATGCGACCCGTTTTCTTTCATCGTCTCAATCGTCGCTATAAACACTCCAATTATGGTCTCTCGCCAAACTACTGCTTTGACGCAGGCGTCGTAACCATTAGCGACGACCTCCCAAACAGGATTCTATCGGGCACCATCAACGTTAAGTGTAACGTTAAAGAGTTCACAACTGATGGCGCCACTTTCGATGACGGTTCAGTCCTCAAGGACATTGATGTCGTCATACTTGCTACAGGGTTTAATTTTGACTTTCCATTTCTTGATGATAGCATAATTCAAGTTGACGGACATTACCCGTACTTATATGAGCTGATGTTTCCGACAGATATGAACCCGTGCACCCTCGGTGTCGTAGGACTAGTCCAACCATTTGGCTCACTTCCGCCAATCCTGGAAATGCAAGCCCGATACATCACCGGAGTGTTTGCAGGAAGGAATCAGCTACCTAGTGCTTCCAAGCGTCGTGAGCACGTAGAAAAACGCAAAACTTTTATCAAAGCGAAGTATGTCGACTCCCCCAGATATAGTCTGCAGGTGTACTTCATCCAATACCTCGACAGACTGGGGTCTATGATCGGCTGTAAACCAAACCTCTGGAAACATTTCTTCTCCGATCCAAAGCTGTGGTACAAACTTTACTTCGGTCCGGCCACCCCTGTACAATGGCGTCTGGACGGCCCTGACTCGTGGAAGGGTGCGAAGACGGCCATTGAGAAAGTGGAGGAACATACCTACTTTCCTATGAAGTCACGACAGTCGGGAGACGGAGAAAAGGATGGTCTATACGACGGCTGGATTCTTCTCTTCAAGAAAATATGTTTCGTTGTCCTTCTGTTTTTCCTCGCTAGATACGTCATTGCCAATGGTTACGTTACAGGTCTCATAAAATTTGCATAACTGTTGAACTGAACTGACGCTGGGATGATTTATATCATACCTATCTTTTCGTTACGTCACTGATCTTGACTCCAACTATCACTCTAAATGCATTTTTTGCCACGTCACAAGTCTTGTGAAATGTGTGCGTATCTCTTGAGAAATTTTTCATTGTATTTTGATATTGTTTTACGTACAATAATGAATGTAGTTTGATAAATGGTACTAAACGATTTAAGAGATTATAATATAATAATTGAATGATTGAAATCTACTGAAGACCTCTATTATTGTACAGTCTGGATATTATATATCACTAAGACATATATATGTAGTAACTTTGTAATAATGTAGACTTATATAGAAGTGTTGTTTGTGTGAGGGTGTTTGTGACATGTAGGCATGTGGGTATGCAAGTATGTATAAGCTTGATTAGATGTTTACATATCTAATTTTTATACATTACCCGAAGTAATCATTCTACTCTGTGAATATTGTGTAATACTACCATCAATGCTTTTAATGTTAAAATCTATTTCTCTTTATATATATACATTACTGTCTATGATATCTTTTATTTACTTTATTCACTTTGACTTGTATATATGTGGTACCTATTGGAGAGGACTTATATAGGCTTGCCTGTTGTCCAATCCATTTGATTTCTAAACAATAAAATTTGAAATTAAAAATGCAGTTTGATTTCAAAATAAATATTCATTCGACATTGTTTTCATTATTTTGATATGATTTGGAAAATGACACAGTTCCTGCACGAGATCTGAATTTATCAAACAACTATAATAAATTGCACTGTGTTGAAAAGCTTTAACCCTTTTCAAATATAAAAGCTTTACAAACGTGCGTGCAATCTGATTAAAATCATATTCTACGTTCTCTACGTATCACGTTATACGTAGAGAACGTAGGATATGATTTTAATCAGATTGACGTGCGTGTATCTTCATTTATGTAACCTGAACAATTTGAACTTGCTGACGAATTATACGAAATATCACACCCATTAATGTCGTCAAAAAGTAAATTGAAAACAAAATACCAACACAAATGAAGACACCATGAAACAACCCCCTCCCAATAACAATACGATGAAAACCTACATGTAGGTGTTCCGGAAATGTAAGCCCATCACGAACCGCAAGTTTGGCCAATCATGATGAAATTTAGGAAAGGAGGATGATCAAGGTGTACTGTCAAAATTTAGCACTGCCTGGACTTCAATGTTAACTAATTGTGAAAACTCTGAAAAGTTTCGGGTGATTTAAAGATGAAATTTTGATGCTGATGAAACCAATCTTTCATATAAGGTATCTTAACTTAGTTAAGCATATCTGGAAAATTCGTTAAAGATTCCTGGGACAAAAACAAAAAACACAATCACAGATTCCACCGGGAGCAAATAGTTTTATTTTCAATACACATAATGTACACAGGTGATATACAAATAAAAATAAAATCAACAGTTTATTTCTCAGCAGAAAGAAAATGTACTGGTTAACAGGCACGACACAACAACAACCACAACAAAAATCTCTTTCACGTTCTATTGTAAGAAATCTATAGTATGGTACAACTATCAACCAATTTGTAGTATTCAATATTTTAATCCTGATTATTTTGGCTTATTTAAACGCAAATAGTATTTAAAACGTTCAAATTCAATTCTGCCTTTTCCTGTCTCGTAAAATTGTAATTTTGTTGCAATAAAAAACTCAAGTGTGTATCATAAAGGTGTGATATTTAGATAAAGTCCATTTTTGCTTCGAAGAATAAGCATAGCTTCCGGTTCCGCTGGCCGAGTGGGGTCAAGTGTCAACCGGAAGTTGCGTATAATTGTTGGTATGACAACTTTCAACTGGGTTGTGGCGAACGCCTGTCCTATACAGTTTCTGAAGTGAACAAAATAAATAAAAAAATGAGTCGCACTTAAACTACAAAATTAAATTTCTAGTATAATTTATGCGATATATGTTCGACAATAGCTTTATTAAGACAATAAAAACAAACACATTCTATTACAAAAAGATCTTCGGAGAACCCTGAAATTCCCATTCCCATTGGGACCCCCTCACATCATAACCACTTTCGTCATGCTACCTATGAGCATAAAAAACAACCTAAAAGTTTGGAATTCCCTACCCCAACACTTGGTTATAAAAACGAGTGCCCTCCTCCCTTTATTTTATTGTGTACTTATCTTATATGTAGGCCAATCAAAACGGAGCGAATAATCAGAAAATCGAAGGAAAATTAACCGTCAAAGGACTAATAGGACTTATCCAGGTCTTATTTGTATGGAAAAGTGCAACACATTACTGATATAACGATATTTAATATTACCTTGGGCCCATTGAAAAAGGAATGAAGCTACCGGAGCCGGCGTTGATTTTCTTGTTCTGCTCGGAAAATCTAGACGGGTCGTATTCCTGGAAGAGAAATCACAAGTATCGAAAGCTAGCTGGGGATAGCTAATTATTTAATGTTTGATTGTTAAAAAGTGAAATGAGAAAAATATATATAATAAAATGGGGATATGGGAATATATATTGTTCAAAACCTTTTATTTTTTATTTTTTAGCGTTGCTTTATTATTTTTTCACAGAAATATCTGAGAACACAAAGTTGCATAAAAGTTAGTGGCTTACTAACACAAAGGTAATGTTCAAATTCGTTTTTAACCCAACTGGAAAATATCATCATGTTGAAATATACCTGGTAGTAACTCAATTTTAAGTTAAGAATGTATTAATATTTAAGATTCAGTATTGTTAATATAAAAACTACCAGGGAATCCGTTTATTTTACAAAAACCCCTTCCCTTAGTCCTTAGCTTTACAGGAAGTCAGTCTTGTAAAGTATTTTCAAGTAGAATTACTTCAGATGGGAGTGGTTTTTAACACAATATTTTTGACGAATTAAACCTCCTTCAAAATCAATACCGGAAACACTTTAAAACTAATCATAAACACAACGTACCTCCGGATTGTCCCAAACATCCGGATTCCTGTGTAGAGCAAACGACGACACTGCCATTCTCATACCTGCAAGTAGGCATAAGTCAACTGTCGGTAATTCTCCGAGTATCACAAAAAACAGTGTATTTTTCTATAATTATCGAGACTCAACGGATGTAGTTTACATATGGGTGGTCATACGATTATAAAATGCATGCAAAGTGTAAAACCAAGCAAAGACGAAGGTATGATGTTATTCAAGCACGTTTTGTGAACTGCGTAGTAAATATAGCAGAACATCGTTTTATTTTCACCTATTTGTCCAGCCAAACTTTGGCGTCATAAGGAGATCTTAAAATCAGTTGGTGGTATCCGAGGTGGCATAGTGAACGAATGAATTATATCGAGGTTTTACTGTACAGCATACTCGCAAGAAATACGTTCAAGGAAACATCTACTAAAAAACTTCGCAAATTGAAGCATATGGCCAATTGTCCACTGAGGACTTATCGTTGGTATTTAACATCACCACAACAGGCAGGGTCTCGAATGTTCTCGTCTCAAGATACAAGACACAAGATACAAGAAACTTTATTTAACGTCGCATACAGGTAAACAAGGAACATTAGCTCTTGAGAGCTATTATTGCGACAAACATATGTAAAATAACAATAACATATTATATTACAAGTAAAGGGAGATAATCACACATATTAATTAAAAAAAACCCAGTAATAATCATCACAGAAAAAGAAAGTATACACATCCCAGGTTTCTAAGTGATTGAGAGTCCCCTACCTACAAAGGCCCCTGGGAAATGACTATTTTGGAACAATAAATATATATGAAAAAGTGTTAATATATGAAAATCATTAAATATGATCACAGATAAGTAGTTTTCAGAATAAGTAAATAATGGACATAGTAAATAGTGAATGAATACGTGTATATCACACAAGAATTACTTACGACTTCGGGTTTAAACACTATGAAGTGGAATATACATACAATGCTAATATAGCAAAGAATAAAAATTGACAGAATATACACTATTATAGTGTGAATTAAAAATGATACCGAAATCAATTAGCAAAATTTATCAAGTTTTATAAAAAAATGTTTTTTTTAGAATATATGGAATTAAAATACAAATACGATGCTGCAAAATATAGAATAGAATTAAAACATATAAGAAATGATTTAAGACAATAAAAGTATCACACAATCCAAAATGTCTGGTGGCAGAGGTAACCAGGGCACAGTATGAAGTATCACTCTTTGCAGATATTGCAAAGACAGATGGGGCCATCCCAGGAATAATAGAACAGCCTCCTGAATTCTTTGAAGTTTTCAACTTTTCGGAAGTCATTTGGGAGACTGTTCCACACCCGGGCGGCCTCAAAAGCAAATGATTTATGTCCATACTTCACAGTGTTGACCCTGGGCACCACTGCAGTCTTTTCTTTCCTGAAGTGATAATCAGACATCTTAATATTTACAAGATTATGAATATATTCAGGAGAAATTTTGTTTATAATTTTTAAAACCTCACAACCTATTTCCTTCAGACGCCTTACAATTAAGCCTGTCGCTGTTGGTAATACTAAGCAAGTGTCTGAAGGATGAGTTGTGATCATTATGTATAAACCTTAAAGCTCTTTCTTGTATCTTTTCTAGCTTTTTGACACTCTTCATGGAACAAGAGTGCCAGACTAAAGGACGGTAGTTAAAATTTGAAACAATAAAAGATTTATAAATTACAAGTCTACCTTATTCGTAAACTCCAAATTCGCTTTAAAATGGACAATTGCCTTGAGGCTTTCCTACAAATTTCAGAAATATAAGCTTCAAAGTTTAAAAATTAATCGAAGTTCACACCTAAAAGTTTGACAACACTGTGAGGAACAATATCTTTTTCGCCAATACTAAAAACTGTATAGCATCTACCGAATGTTTCCCTATACAAATGGCCTGGAATTTATCGGGGTTTGCTTTCATCTGGTTTAATTTAAACCGGTCTATTAAATTTTGACAGTCATTTTCAATATTATGTTTTAAAGCATCTGGGTCTTTATTCGATTCACTGACAGTGTTGTCGTCTGCATAATTATATAATTTACAGGATGTTACATATGAAAACATACCATTTACAAATACACTAAAAAGCAAGTGTCCTAAAATAGAACTCTTGGGTACCCCCTTCAGCACTTCCAGCCAGTCACACCGCATTTGGAGCCAATTTTTACCTGCTGCTTCCTGCTGCTCAGGTAGCTGGACACCAGGTTAACTGAGGCTTTGCTCAGGCCAAATGCCTCCAGCTTCCCGACCAAGTTATGAGGAAGACAGTCAAAAGCCTTGGAGAGGTCCATCAGTATGGCAGCGACATACTCATGGTTGTCTAGGGCTCTACGCCAATCCTCAACAAGTCACGAACGCGATTGAAACCAAGAATACAGTTTCCCGTAACATTTTGCCTCGTGTAATATCTCATTTTGTCCTCGTGCGATGTCTCATTTCACATAGGATAATAGCTCACATTTGAACTCTGTCGTCTTATGGCCTTACCTGCAGCGAAGTCATCAACCACGAAAATAAGCTCACCTTTGGGTATGACGCGGCCATCCGGTAAGGTTATGTCCTTCTCGGCACACCTGGACACATTGGGCACAGGTGGAAACAGCCTCTGACTTTCCTTGATACAGCTAAAGGTAAAGGATACCTTCTGGATGTCGTCCCTAACATGAAAGTTACAAGTATTGAAAATCCTTTTTTTTCGTGATATGTCGTCAAAATAACTCCGCATCGTAAGATACACTAATTTTGTTCAAAGAATTCATTTTGGTAAAGTGTATTGATGTCTACAAGTGTCGTCAAATTTCTGATCAAATTGGTTATTTAAATTTTCTTTCTGGTTGTTTCTGGTTTGTTTTATGATTTCTTTTCCTTAGTGTTGTACTTGCTATGGTCTCGCTAGATCAATCTAACCAGACCTCTTATACCAAGGATTTCCCCGATTTGTCATGACCTTAGCCTTTGATGAACCCACTAAAACTTAAACCCAAATGTGTCACTGCTGCACGATAAGGCATGATAGCACAATGTTGATGAGAATGTATAAAATGCACCATATTGCGACAGATGTGCTTCTACCTTTCCTTTTTTTTTTTAACTTGTTTTTCTATTCTTGATCTTTATGCTTTATCACCACTTTTGGATAAATTGCAGAAATTGTCCGTGTGAGAAAGACAAAGGGTTCTGTCTCAAAGCCTGGACATACCGAAGTCCTTAAAAATACTTGTTAATATGGTGTCAATATAATTTGACCGAGTGGAATACTGTACTGCATGATATTTCAGGAAGGTACATTTAGCAATCAAAAGAAGGCGTCAGATCCGCGCTTTCTCAATGAGAGAACACACCAGCATACAGCCTCCAACACACACGCATACATTACATACAGTGAGGGACGCACTTAAAAGGTGTGAGCTGTTAAAAGGATACTAAAACTTATTAACCAATTTCTCTTCAAACCTTTTGTCCTACGATAATATTAGTTATGTCTGGGTTAGGAGGGGTCTACGGGCTCAGAGACCCCGTCTGGTTTTTATAGACTCCGAGCCGAAGGCTTGGTTAGGAGGTGTCTTCGGGCTCATAGACCCGTTTGGTTTTTATAGATCCCGAGCCGAACAATTTGTCACCCTTACAATCTTTTATTACTTTTTTTGCAAAGTTTTTTGCAAAGTTATAAGTCCCTTCGTGAGTGCGAGTTGTACTTGAACGCTACCAAAATAGCCCCTACCAGACCCCTTTTCGGCAATATTTCGGACAATACACAACCATCTTTGTAATTAGCACCCTAGCGGCCCCTCATTGCATGTTTCGTTGAATTTGCTGTCAATTGATTGGCACACCTCAAACGCTCGTGTGTGCGTGTGTCGGACGCCATCTTTGTTGTTATGAAGAGAGATTCAAGTATGAGTTTCTCCCCTCGCACGTGTTTTTATAGACCCCGGCAGAGCGGGGTCTATAGAAATATAAACCCCGGCAAGATATCCAATCAGAAAGATTATAAATTAGAAGGTTGACAATTGTGAAACAATATCAACCAACCAAAAAGACGTACCACGTGAGATCTGTCTTGTCCCCCCACTCTCGTTCTACCTCCTCCCGACACCGGTCCTGGTACTCAGGATGTAAGGCCAGGTTGTAAAGACACCAGGACAGAGTGCTGGCTGTGGAATCATGTCCCGCGAACATAAATGTGTCCACTTCATCCCTAATCTCCTTGTCAGTCAGGCCCTGTCCATCTGAGTCCTGTACCGGAAGTACACTAACATTGTAATCAAAGTGTATGCTAGTGGAACCAATGATTAAAGACATGAGAACAAACTTCAATAAATACATGTTTATTGATTTTTTGTAATTTTACATCAAGTCGAACATTATTCAAATATCAATTCTGACAATTTCATTTTAGTGCAGAGGAGCGTTTCTGTGTGCTGACATATATCAGCTGATATCGGCAGGAATGATATTGATGATATACAGAATAATAAAATGCCAAGTTACATTTCGATTATATTGACGAAATCATAAACAAGGAAAAGTTATGGTGAAGAAACTATTGGCAACGTGTGTATCTTTTGACTTATGTCATTCGAGCTTTGAAACGTGTTATGTTGGAGGGAAAATAACCGTATGTCTATTTATTTCCCCGGTATATTTTGGAGGGATGCCGGTGTTGAGATGTCCCGGGTTTATTCCTCCTACAACATATAACCTCAGCCGTAAGCTTCTTCTTCCATTCTATATGATAGTATCCTTATGTGTTTATCTTATAAATCAATCAATACATTTGATTTCTTTTACAACAATTAGGAAATAAACTATTACAACTTATATTAATCACTCTTAATTAGCCCGGATGTTAGCGCGCGAGGGAATTTAATGTGGGAGGAAACCGGAGTACCCAGAATAAACCCACATGGTCGGTCAGGTGACAGAACGGTCAAATGGCGTTATGTTAATACGTACTTTGGCTGTGAGCAAAATATCGAGAAAGTCAACGTTCCTAGATCCGGCCTTCTCGCTCGCCAACAATTGTCTCCTCTGTTCTATCAACTTGTTCGAGTGTTCGTGTATTGTATCACATGCGTACTGAAATTTTCGTCTGCAAAATTTAATGAAAATTCATTATTCTATAAATCGTTATAGATTTTTGATAAAGTACTGATATTTAGCAAGGTGAAAGACTGACATCTATTGGACATAGTTTGGCATTCATTGACCCGTTTCAGTCTCTTAACATGTAGGTGACAGATGACAAACTATGATCAGGTTTGTATTTCCCTGGCCGTCAGCATAGGTTATTATTACATGCGTCCCCGCCTCTACTTGCTCTCTTTCTCTCCTAACTATATGCCTATTTGAGATTTCACGACAGGAATATATTGGGGAAAAGGACGATTTCATATCAATATCGGTAACAGAGATAATTGTTGCTTTTCTTTGACCGTCTGGCTCAGGAAACGATATATACATTGTTTCTTTAAGTTGTGACCAGGCGTAAATGGACAACTAGAAAAATAAATCGCAAGAAAAACAGTTTGAGATAGGTGACAAGAGGACAATGTTTATTCCTGGAAAAAAACTTATCGGAATTCGTACCAGTTATCGGACAAAAATAATGTTATAGTCAACCCTTATCAGACAGACAGTGTATGAGGGTTATATTTACCCGTTTTCAGACAGGGAGTATAGGAAACCAAAGTGATGAAGAGGGTTCATGATCCTTTTGATGATCAGGTCAGAGACGTCGTAGACACACTGGATGTACGCGGGGCGCACCCTGGTGGAGAGAAAAGAAATTACTGATTTTACCTATGTTGGTAATGTTAAGGCAACCTCATCTACTTTCACTTGAAGTTTAACTCCACTCATGGAACTTAATGCAACTTAATCTACACATATATTTCATAATACGTCCTCGCAGTAGTTCTATTTTTGGTCTGATTTTGCAGATCAGCGACACCTACCGGCGGTAATTAGTAATATTTCACAGATAAATGGACCACGACTTCACCTATTAATTTTTTTTCCATAAAATAGTTCACATGTTATAAATTGTAAATTGATGTGATAGTGTTATGTGACTGTATAGCCGCCGCTAAGGGTATGACAACATGAACTATAGATACATATACGTACGTTTCCAGCTGACAGTTACTATGGTGACCAAACAGACACTTCATCATGCTATCCAGCGTCAATAGGCTCATGTGATGAAATGTCTCAACACATCCGGGGTTTTCTCGCCATTTGCCCTGTCAGTGCAAGACCAAATGGTTGTTTAAGAGTGCGATGCAGAAAAGTTGCAAAGTGTTGAGAACCACAATGAAAATAATTTCGAGATTTTTCTGTTGGATTGTTCCATGAGCATTAATTTTAATGTCATCTTTTTAAACCTCACATTGATGCCAGGCGCGGTTCCACCAAATTGTCAAACAGTAAAACAAAACTAAATCACTGCTTGTTGCACTCCCTTGATCCCGAACCAAGGCCCTGCCCCGGACCTGCTCCTAAATGAAACCTCTCCAAACACGCCTCTGGACGAAATGTTGGCTCTGTTAGAGAAATCACCCCGATATGGATGTGGTTCAAAGGATTGCTCAATCGAATTAGACTGTACTCAAACTTAGTCACGTGTTACAGGGTCAAAGTTCAGCATAAGGCGCCATTCATACAAAAGCTTTACCAAAATTGTGAAATATTTCAACAAGTTTCGCATTTAGGATTTTTTGAAAGATTCGCTTAAACTGGACCTCACCGAATCCCAATGGGAACATCATCGCCATATATGGTCCGAAATAGTACGCCATCATATACTCACTAGGCACTAATGATCGGATATCATAAGAACCGTTGTATTCTACCAAGCACAATTTCGTCTGCAATTTTTATCAACTATACCTGTGCTGCGAAATGAGAAATTCTTAACCAAGGAACATCTTAGACTGTAACGCGAGTATTGAACTAATGTTTATCTCTAAAATCCTTTGAAATTGTTTTGACTTTTCTTGTCAGTCACACATAGGACTACGCAATGACTTTGTTTAATGTAATGGCGGGTCAAGTGTTAGACTATTTCGTATTTAACTTAATGAACGTAGAACCCATACAAATAGTTTTTCTCAGGTTTGCCAAATAGTTCTCTCTTCTGGATTCTTTACATGCTATTATCCTTGTAATGCTACTTTTGCTACAAAGATAACCGAACCTCATTGAGGACTTACTAGTAAGACCTTCGCTGATTCGTTGAATATCTCCACATAGTGTTTCAATATGTCCATATGGAAGGCGGGAGTGAGCATGCGTCTGTTTCGGTCCCACTTCCGTCCACCTGACAGGAGCAAGCCGTCCCCTAAAATATGTTAACAATATCTTATTTCATCTGTTTCCGGTAAAGGAAAAAGTAAATTTACATCAAAGAAAACAGGATGTGAGGTTGAGAAAGACTCGATACATTTTTCATAGTCTCATCAGGCCTATATTAACATCCGCATGTCATTGCTATTATATAACACGACACAATTCATTTAACAATGATAGGACTATCTGGGGCGAAATAATATATAGTATAAGGCTAAACGGTTTATAAATGAACAACACAAAATCAAAAAAATATAAATTTAAAATAGTGTCTACAATTGCACCATTCTATATTAAATAATTCAAACTAGCTTCAACAAAGATAGAATTTTGTTAACAAGTCGGCAATAGTATCTGTTGAAAATCACAACAATGTAACTTTATCATAAAGCTTTCAACTGTTAATGGTGCAATGCAAAGAGACATCGAAGGGCTTGCAACGTGTAGAGACGAGATATGTTATCGCACTTTAACATTGAGGAGAATCGGAAATATTGTCAAAAAATTGGTTGACAAAACAAGCATGGGTTATTGAGTAAAAATAAACAACACATGTTTACACTTCACAAATATAACTAAAAACTGTTTGTCATTAAATATGAAAAAGCGTCATCCTTTTATATCGGTATTGTACTCTTTGTTACATCAATACGCGCATACTGTGTGCAGTTCCGTCAACTGAAACATCAGTAAAACGTTCCAAACTTGTAACAATGTAAAACTTAAATACTCTCCATAGCATGTTAATGCCGCTACTATTGAACGATATCAATACAAATGTAAGTATTGAACTGTTTTCGGATGAACGCAACCAGAAAAAAATGCTTGAATTAAGACTGTGAGGCCTCAGGCAACCCTTTCGCTTACACGTTTAACAAAGCACCACTAAGTTATCGATACCATAACAGTATCTCACAAGTATTATTATGTCTCCCTTCCTTCCTCCCTTTCATCCAATGTTGTCTTTCTTGTTATGTTGCCACATGATCTATTGTTAATTTGTCGACGTTCAACAAACAACATGTTATCAATTAAACAGCAAAAACAAAAAAAAACAAAAAAAACACCACAAACCTATCCAAGGCCGCATTAACGCATAGGATTCATCTTTGGGATCTGAAATATTAGAACAGGTTTGATATTAATAAATAAAGCAGCTTATTTTCAAATATATTCAAAACTTTACTTTTTAGTATAGTGGGAGGTGTCTTTTTTTAGTTTTAATATATTTGTAGGCACATAATATAAGTCTTAGGCATGATATATATATCATGAGGTAAATATAAATAAGTTCTTATATTTTTATTTAATAAATCGATGTTATATATATATATATAACACTTGTACTATGGACACGCTCGTTGGAAACGCTCATGCTTTTCATCAATCAACAGTTAATCATTCAGCAAGTAACCAACCAGCTTAAGCCCAAACAGGAATAGTGGTTACATGTTTTATGTATAATATGGTCCAATAGACATGTTTTGTAACATGCAATATGTATATAAGTGTGTGTAAAACACTAATTCCGCAGTATCAGTAGCAAAACAGGTCTCTTGGACCATATAATATTAATATGCAATACAGAACAGGTGTTTATAATTTTCCATAACAATTCTCAAATTTCATTTCATATTTTTTCAGCAGAAAAGTGAGTCCTACTTGGTGAATTTTAAATACAAACTTTGGGAAATAGACCTTTCGACCATCTGTATATTTCGATATTTGTTCATGGTCATTCCTATCTTGAAAAAAACAATGTTCACTTTTGGTCTTTTTTTTTTAATATAGCGAAATGAATGTTCTGTTACATGTAACATGTTTTTGTTTTACACTCTTGATTTTATTGATATATTATTTATCCAGCTTTTCATTCATACAATCATTTGATATAAAATGATTCAACAATTCAGTGAATACGTTACCAGTTCCCGACAAAACATGCTTGACTGTAGACGGATGGCCCATGTTAAGGAATGCGTCGAGAGGACCCATCCAAACTGGAAATACACCATTGTAGGTGGTAGCACAGTCGGTTGTCCTGAGAAGTCCATCTAAGTCACCAGAAATCTTGAAATGCATCAACAGATAAAGCTCTAATAAGATATCGAAAACAAAAGTAATTTCATGAAAATATGAAAAAGTTTTATACAAAAACAAAACGAATACGTTTGTTCCTATATACAACATGTGAACGGAATAGTGTACCCTGGATGAACACCGACCCGGTCAGGATAGAATGATATGATACTATGTCCGTCACGACGCAATACCAACAAATACTAGTAAAGTGTCAACACTCCATTCTCCTGCATTATTCCCCATTATCATCAAATCAAAATAAGAGATATATGATTATGGTTTTTAAACTCTTTACATTCTTAATCTTCCAGTTGAGTTCCAAAGATGACAAAGATTCAGTGTTAAGTTAGTCGTGTTACCCATCGGTTATGTTAGTCGTGCTACCCATCGGTTATGTTAGACGTGCTACCCATCGGTTATGTTAGTCGTGCTCCCCATCGGTTATGTTAGTCGTGCTACCCATCAGTTATGTTAGTCGTGCTACCCATCGGTTACGTTAGTCGTGCTACCCATCGGTTATGTTAGTCTTGCTACCCATCGGTTATGTTAGTCGTGCTACCCGTCGGTTATGTTAGTCGTGCTACCCATCGGTTTTGTTAGTCGTGCTACCCATCGGCTATGTTAGTCGTGCTACCCATCGGGTATGTTAGTCGTTCTACCCATCGGTTATGTTAGTCGTGGTACCCATCGGTTATGTTAGTCGTGCTACCCATAGGTTATGTTAGTCGTGCCACCCATCGGTTATGTTAGTCGTGCTACCCATAGGTTATGTTAGTCGTGCTCCCCATCGGTTATGTTAGTCGTGCTGCCCATCGGTTATGTTAGTCGTGCTACCCATCAGTTATGTTAGTCGTGCTACCCATCGGTTACGTTAGTCGTGCTACCCATCGGTTACGTTAGTCGTGCTACCCATCGGTTACGTTAGTCGTGCTACCCATCGGTTACGTTAGTCGTGCTACCCATCGGTTACGTTAGTCGTGCTACCCATCGGTTACGTTAGTCGTGCTACCCATGTGTTATGTTAGGCGTGCTACCCATCGGTTATGTTAGTCGGGCTACCCATCGGTTATGTTAGTCGTGCTACCCATAGGTTATGTTAGTCGTGATACCCATCGGTTATGTTAGTCGTGCTACCCATAGGTTATGTTAGTCGTGCCACCCATCGGTTATGTTAGTCGTGCTACCCATCGGTTATGCTAGTAGTGCTACCCATCGGTTATGTTAGTCGTGCTAACCATCGGTTATGTTAATCGTGCTACCCATCGGTTATGTTAGTCGTGCTGCCCATCGGTTATGTTAATCGTGCTACCCATCGGTTATGCTAGTCGTGCTAACCATCGGTTATGTTAGTCGTGCTACCCATCGATTATGTTAGTCGTGCTACCCATCGGTTATGTTAATCGTGCTACCCATCGGTTCAAACATTTGAACGAAAAATTACAACATAGGGCCACATGGACATGATAATTAGTTACAGCTATATCTGGACCTAGGCTTAGGTGTTTAGAGTTATTTTACACGTTTTAGGGTTTAGATCAATTTTCGGTAAAAATGCCATCCCAACTTAACACCTTAAAGCAGGTCCAAATATGGCTGAACCAAATTCTCAAGTCCCTGTGAATAGGGCAATGGGTTTGGTGTTGATGCGCGGCCGAGAAACCCGTGCATCGCAAATAAACACAGGTAGAAAGTTATTTTTATGACTTGTTGATCAGATTGCCTTTTATGTATGAAATTCGTATCCAATCTATACTTACCTCTCTCGTGTTTCCATACAGCCAGTGAGGTTTAGGTCCTGGGAAGTCCTTGAAAGCCTTCTTCAGGTCGTGTTTTCGTTTCAGAAGCTGTAGGAATTTAAGGAGAAGGAGAGTGCCGATACATATAGGTGAAATTTGTAGAAGTATCGTGATGAGCGCCGCCATTGTGTTTGTGTAGAAGGACGCGGAGCGGTACCGGCCTAGACATGAAGATAACAGGTGTCCATCTGTTTATACTTATCGTAGAGATAACTGGCTAAGCGGATATTGTAGCCAGTCGGTCAGCTGGTCAACTGGTCAGCGGTAACATGACGTCATCAGACCCTGAGTGTTTAAGATAATTTGATCATGTAGATTCTTTCGAAAACAAAAGGTGCATAATACAAATAAAATCCAAAATAAATTCTATCAATCACCAAAAATAGAAATTGTGACTGATCAATTTGGCCATCTAGAAAAAACATTGCCTATGTTAATGATTTAATATTTAATAACCGGCAGGCAAAGCACACCAGAATCAGTAAATGAAAAAGTTTTCCTTGTTTTCATGTGGTTCAAATCAATATTATAAAGACAGTTTTAGAAAATTGGTTTTAGGACAAACTCTTAGGAGAGAAATGTTTGCAACTACTTAACCTATTTGCTACTTAATTACAATATGACGTCGTTGCAACACATGAGTCATATGACGATGGTGACAAGAGGAATAACATGGAAACGCTAAGAATCGTTCAACAACAGATTAACATTAGATTTATTCCTCGGCACTTAATGGAAATAGGAGGTCACTTCTACTCGTTTAATGCTCTCTTTGAAGAGGACACTGAAATAATCTACCGACCCACGTTAGTCACAAGTTCCTATGAGTTGAAATACCGGAATTTATGAAGTTTTCAATATTTCTCCTGACAGGTTAAGGCGCAAATATAAACCACATGTATCGAAATGACGATAATCAACCGCAAACATCGAAACTACATTCCAGGAAAAAAGGAAACAACCCAACTTGAGGTGTAATATGTGTATCAAGTTTAATGATGGACGTGGCCCACACACGTAGCTGTATCTCTAAAAATGCAGAAATAGATACAGTATTTCCAAGATTAAATTGAAACTGTATTAAAAAGCTGAAGCCGCTAAAATAGCAATAGGTACTATTGTAAAAGATGTGCATTTCTAAGATTGCCTTACAATTAAGCGTTAGTGTAGGGAATTTCCCTTTATCTTAGCGGTAGAGCACCGGGCTGGAGAGCCATTTAAAAAAAAAAAAATTACAAACAATCAAAGGGATTGGGAACAAGTTCTGACAACTTACTAGGCCCTCTCCCGACAATACAACACACAGTAACACCAAAGATATAGCACGTGATGACAAAAAGGTCAGCATATATACATAGACAATCTACTAATTGCCATGAGAAAAAAAGTAAGGAGATAGGGAAGGAGTGAGGGAAAAGGTGAAAGAAGGGACAGGAGGGGAAATGTTCCGGTTGTATAAGTTGTCCACTATAATTGGTTTCAAACATCTTCGTTGATTTTATAAATGATTGTACAGCATGTATGTTGTTGACATTTGTTTGGAACGGCAGATCTGAATCTTAATTTAAACAAATTTTATTTAATTTAGAAAAAGGATTGAACAACAGGCATAGCCTATATTATTTCTCTCCTAAAGGTAACAGTGAGTATATAAATATATATATATATTATATAGTATGTTGTTATTTTGAAAGAGCTATTGCGGAAAACTGCCCGTATTTCCCTAAGTCGGTATTTGTGAAAACGGAAAAAAATATTGATGAGTAAATCATTTTTAGTAGCAAAATTGCATATAATAGATATAAAACCAATTGAATACGAATTTTTGAACTGTTGAGATATTCGGTATTGTTAATATAATACTGCAAATTTAGCCATATTCACTATAAGCATGACAGTGACGGGGTTTCCCAGACTTAAAAAATACTTTCAATACTTTTCCATCCGATGACCAAGTTTTGAATACATTTTTTGATTCTATGATGTAATATGCAAAAACAAATCGTAATACGGAAAAGAGGTCCTCCTTTGGGAAAGTGCTCAAATAATAAAAAAAATAGGGCTGATGTAGTTTCTCAAAAATGCGACCGATGTTTCTTGGGTTAAAACAGTTTGTATTTTGATATTCCTCTATGTCCGATGTAGCTTAATTTGTAACGCAGTTAGCTTGTGACCAGAAGAAGTGAACGGTGTAGGTTCGAATCAATATCTAGGCATGTGATCCTTTTCCTTAATTAAGTGATAAAATAAATTAAAATCAATGGAACATTTTATTGATATTTTAATAGCATACGTATTGATTTTTCTTTTATGGAATAATGTAAACAAATTCCTGTACGCTTGTACAGTACAGATACGCATTGTTGTTAAGACATCATGTTAAATAATATTTATGAATTGTTTAAGCCTCCAATTGGCACTAGTATTTTTATTTATTATTTCAACATAAACAAATCATGCTGAGACACAAAGTATATGGGATTGATACGTCAGAATAATAAAAAGGCAAAGCAAACAAAACTGAACAGTTATTATCGCAAAGATATTACCGAACATGCGGGAACATTCATCGTCCAGGACAGTCTCATTTGTTTTAACTGCAGGAAGACTGCAGCACAAAGTAAGGAGCACAATACACGTGTAAGACATGGTGATGCTATTCGAAAACTATATGTAATTTTACCATTCCAATATGCAGGAAAAACAAAATCAAGATGCGTGTATTTTTTTTAAAACAGGTAACGGCATGACGTAGGCAGTGGTAATGAAAATTAACTGTACGAGCATTTTGTTGAGTCTTTATTGTGAAATGCATGTATTAATGGCCACGGCCTTAAATCGTCTGTTTACAATAATCTATTCTTAGACACGGGATTCCGATAGAGCTACAAACAATGTACCTGACGACACGTCATAACAGTGCATGGTTGGATACGCACACTAGCGGATCATAGCTTTGGGGGAAATAGACATAGCAACCCGCCAAAGCTCTTTTAAAGTTGATTATTTTAAGTATGAAACATAAAATGTTTAAATATGGTATATGAGTTTGGAAGTAAGGACATTATTTAAGAGTTGTTATAATAAATAAAATACACAATAAAGTTTATAGTGTGAGGTTCCTTTACGCAGTCCTGTAATTATTCGAGCAGCCTTTATTTGGATAGATTTAAGTAAAGTTGCCTCCTGCTGAGTACAATTATCAAAAATGATATCATCATATTAATATAAGCGGCATATATAGTGATTAGTGTTTAACGACTCATTTTAGATTTACAGATTTCAATAATTTTATACGTAATACGCTTTATTATAAATAAAGTTGATATGGTGATGCCACTTACTGTCTTCAGAAAAATATACACCAAGATGTTTATGATTTGACACATTTGCTACAGTTTTATTTTGAAAAATGACATCAGGAGAAATTTTATTTCTTTTTCGACTAAAAGTTAAAGATTCTGTTTTAGTAGGATTAAAATTAATGTCGCATTTCTTAGACCATAAATTTTCATTTTCAAGATCACTGTGTAGACTATTGGCTGCATCGAGTGGAGTAGTTTGTATCACCTTAAAAAGAGATGTATCATCGGCAAATAGTCGTTTCTCATTTGTTATACATTCAGTAATATCTTTTATATAAATCAGAAACAAAAACGGACCGAGGACTGATCCCTGGGGGACACCAGCACTTACCTATCTATATGATGAAAAGAAGTCTTCTATTATCACTTTATGTTTACGATTAGTTAAGTAATCTTTAAACCAATTTAGGAGATTTCCTTTAATACCATATTTTTCAAGTTTAAATAATAAGCCAGGATGCCAGACACGATCAAATGCCTTGCTTACATCACAAAATATTGATCTAATTTCAAGTCCTTCATCAAGCTGTTGTATAATAGTATTATACATGGATAATAATTGATAAACAGTAGAGTTACCAGGAATAAATCCAGACTGGTATTTTGTTAGTAGTTCGAATTCCAGTAAATGATTATATCTATTTTATTGAAACATGAAGTAATAGAAATTGGACGGTAATTTGAGACATCATTTTGATCACCTTTACCTTTATATATAGCATTAATATTAGCCCATTCCCAAGGCAGAGGAATAGAACCAGATGACATGGTTTTATTAAATAACCTAGTAAGGGGAGTAATTAGTGATGGAGAAAGAAGTTTAATAACTTTCGGTATAATTTCATCAGATCTGTCAGTTGATCCCTCACATCCTGCTCTTGAAATAAAATGTTATTAAGTATGTTAGGAGACTCGGGAACAAGAGGCAAAGGATCAATATTATCAGAGGATGTTGATATGGCTGTAAAATAATCAACAATATATTCGGCTTTATCAAGTGGATGAAACAAAACAGTGTTATTGTGATTTAATGGTGGAATAATGGGTGACTTGTTAATTTTTAGAATAGTTTTTGTGGTTTTCCACTATTTAGATGATGAGACATTGGGATCATTTAGAGAGTGTTCTAAATTTTGTATATATATATATCGATCTTTAGTAGTACGTATTAAGCTGATGGCTTCATTTCTGATGTTCCTACAATTTGCCCAATGATCTGGATTATTGGTCTGTATTGCTTTTTTATGGATTCTATTCCTCTGTCTTAGTTTTAACCTTATCTCGTTTGACATCCATGGCTTATCATTTGGTCAGATAGTAATTTTCTTTATCGGTATACAGTTATCTATAGCTTTAGTTATAGCATCAACAAGTACAGTATTAAAACCATTTACATCTTGTTGATCATTTATACTTATCCAGTTTATGTTATAACTCATTTGATTCATTTTGATAACATCAGCATTATTATACAGGAGAACATTTTTTGTATATGCATGTTGTTTAAATACAGAGTAAGAAGCACTGAAGTTAATTACAGAGTTATCACTACAGATTGGAGGAGTTACAATTACATTGTTAACAATAGTATCATTATTGGTAAGGACAATATCAATTGAGGTAGAAGAATCCCGAGTTATTCTTGTAGGATCTTTTACATAATTGTACAGATTATATTTTGTTAAGTCTTTTTAAACGAGAGTTTGGCTGAATATTGCTCATATTTACATTAATGTCACCAGTAATAATAATGTCTGCATTTGTTCGCCTCGAGTCATCAGTCACATGATCTAGTAAATCATCAAGCTTGTTCCAGTAATCAATACTACTGTCATGAGGTCTATAAATACAACCGAGGAGGAGTGTTTTATTGTAAGTGTAATCTCTGACCATAATAGTTCTAAATCAGGAATCTCGAGATCTAGTCTTCTTCTCATAATGATATTGTCCTTATAATAAGTTATAATGCCTCCCCCAGGTCGCAGACAGCGGTCTTTTGGGGGGGAAACAATAGAAAACTTTTGGAGTAACAAGTCATTGTCATGAATCATTTCATTAAGATGGCTTTCAGTTAAACATATAATATCTGTATCACTCAATTCAGCTTCAACTATATCCAGTTTATTTCTTACTGAACGGATGTTTAAGCAACCAATGTCAAGACTGCATAAAGGACCTGGATTTTTTTCAATATCCATATACATTATAATTAGTATTAATATTAGAACAAATGAGAAATAGTCATTTGAATAATAATATATGTAATACAGGAGTTTGTGTCTGCCATGTACAAAATGTACATATAAAATAATAATAATCAATAGCAATGATTAGAGTTTGACAACCACAGGGATGCACTCCATGCAATATAATCATACTATACATGCAAGCACAAATATTACCCGTTATCAAACGATAATATTTCATTACAAAAACCATGGGGTACAAAACAGCAGTCGCAATACTCTTCATATAATACTCGCCACCATTAGAAAAGAGATCTGATAAACATATATTGTGTGGTAATAAACATGATAAAGATAAAACGGAGATATTTACATACACAACTGTTATATACATTAATGTTACCTTCATACAGCCGACTGCATGTAGCTTGTGACAGGGGTTGAACTACATGATATGAAGAGACGTCTTTAAAAAACAACTGTTCAATGTAACTGGAGAGCTTGTTGCAGAATAGTGACTTGAATGCCAGTTAAACACCTAAGTGGTGTCCTCCTTAAAAGCGTCCTAAGCGTCCTCAAGTGACAACAAGCGTCGCTAGACAAAATCTTTAAAAATACTGAATAAAGTAAGAGCCATCAGAAGATATGTTGTTAATATGACTATAATACACCCCAATACCAAATTTCAATTATGTATTTGAAAAATTTACAGAGTTATGATGAATTTAATTTTTACGAACGGCGGCGTGGCACATGTGTGTATTAACTGGTAAGCAGTTAAGCAAGCGTCGCCAGACAATATCTTTGAAAATACTTAACTAAAGTAAGCGGCATCAAGAATATGTTATTGATAATACTTTTATTGATATATACTGCAAATTTCAGCTGGATATATGAAAAAATGACCGAGTTATGATAAATTGAAAGTTTACGTTGGTAGCGTGGCCCACGTGTGTGAATAGAACTCCGCAGATCGTGAAGCGTCTTCAGTCTTTACCTCTAAAATTAGCCTAAAATTAAGCGACATCAGGAGAAGGCTATGATACACCTATGTACTAAACTTCAGTTTGATATTTGAAACATTGACCGAGTTATCGTGAGGTAAAATTTTACGATGTACTAGTATGAAGATTTACAGCGTATCACACGTGTGCATACATAGAAGGACCTCGCATAGCTGAACACGGCCAGTCCGGATTAAATTGCTGCGTAATCACTGGTATAACATTTGGTTTGTTTTATTATTTGTTTTTTTTCCTCATCAGAACGGATGATTTTTTTTCAGTTCCTTTCTTTGTAGAAGTTACCAGACACTACGGAATGTTGGTCCATTATAAAATATGTTCGTGTGACCACGGAATTAGAGACTCTTATCTTTGTTATGTGTTTAAAAACATATAAATACTGCTTTTTTTATTTGAAGACTTATAAATAAAAAAATAAAATAAAAATAAAAAAACTTTTAATAAAGTTTATTGCATTTTTTTAGCGATTCCTGTGGGGTTCAGTATCGTTAACATGTCATTCGTAGAAGCAAAAAATGCGTTTTACTAGCACACATGCTAAGGGAACTTGTTTCTTTTAACAATTCCCGTAAAACTAAGCTTGGAATGTTGCGCCTGCGCGGTCAGTGCATAGGCATCGGTACCAACGACCATCACGAGTATTGCGATTGTTGCATTCTGAAAAAGTTGGGGAAGGTTTGGAGCTTGATGGTGTGATTCATTATTTCGAATGGTTGTTTTTCAACCTTTTAGAAATGCAGCTTTGCGCAATATTGGTTCGATCACTTTTCTACGTACACCATCCACGGACTTTGACTTAATCTGATTCCGTGGTACATCAGAGTTCTGATACTGTTGCATGGTGTAAAGTACCTCAATCCTGAACTAAATGGAGAACTTCAGAAGTTTGAAGCTTGATGATGTGATTCATTGATTTGCAATTAATGTTTTTCAATCTTTTTGTAAAATTCAAATATGGTAAAGAGGTGTATCATAGTCATATTAACAACATATCTTCTGATGTCGCTTACTTTATTCAGTATTTTTAAAGATTTTGTCTGGTGACGTTTGTTGTCACTTGAAGACGCTTGTTGTCGGTTGAAGACGCTTTTAAGGGTGACCGCCTAAGCTGTATACTAAACTAAACCAGATACTGTATTATTCCGGATATTTCAATTCTTACAACGCTACATACTGTATATTTGATATGTAACAGAAAATCGTACTAATTGTCATTTCTATTGTTATGCAGTCATTCTAAATAAATTTAAGAGAAAGAGGGATGAACAGAGATTTGACAATCACGGGGTAGCAATCGAGATATCTATACGACTAGAAGAGTGATCTCCCTTGTATCAGTAATTGTTTTGTTTTTTTAAATTAAATAGTACACATGTAATATATCAATATAGTGCAGGGAGTACATGTTGCCTACAAGTACTGTATAGATATCAACACTTCATTGAGAGGTAGAGTTGAAGCATTAGCGAGGGAACACAAGTTTGTGTAACATTTTATGCAACATTTCTATATTGTAATGTGGTATTATATTGTTATTGGTTGGTAGTTAAACTAAATAGTCTATACAATGCATAAGTATTTATAGATCATAAACATGGATATATTCAAAACATGTGAACACACTTAGAAGTAAGAGGTCACTGATTTATCAATATGTTGGTAATTCAGTTAGTTTTAGTCAAACATGCTTGTTAACAGTTAAATTAATGGTGAATCAAACAAGTTGATCAACATCATCTCAAGGTCATTTCCATTAAGTAACCTTGCTGTCACAATAGGCATTACCTCACCACATGTCATCTTATCATGTTATTTCATACCTACACAAGCTAGATAGATTTACCAGGACATTAGGAATATCTCAAGTTCTCATAGGTTACATAGAGTTAGCACTAGTAGCACTTAGGGTTGATTGATCTGAGGAGGGGTCACGGGGGCGCCTGGTGACCTCTTTGGAGTTCTGGTAGTCACGTAGTGGTCGGGGTCTGATAGGTGTAGGAGGAGGGTCCGGATACGCCATGAGGTCTTCCAATGAAGTGACTGTCGTTTTTTGGTTGTCATTACCTCGTATCACATTCCTACCATCCTGTGTCCAAGTACCTGGTATCATATTCTGTTATTTGAGATATCTCGCCTTGGTAAAGACTTCCATGCGAGTTTTGGTAAGGGGCTCATTTAGGAAGAAAGGGATTTTATCATGTTTAGATCCAACCGTTTCTCATATACAAGGGCACGAACTCTATATGAGATGAACCGACCAATGATGTCCCGGGGGGTAATTGGGATTAGGCTTCCCTACCCTATTAGAGCGGTTAATGTCAGGCGCTGTCAATCATTAGGCCTAGTGTCTCATTACACGCATTATTCATTAGCTGTTCAGTATCTTCGCCTTTAGACTACGGCAAACCCCTGAACTTCATACGGTCTTACAACTTTTTAACCTGGAGTTGTAGGTCCAAGATACCTAGGGCAGACTGTAGCGATGTTTTGTACAAGTCATTATCTAACAGTCGTCTCACAATTTAATCCACCTGTTGTGGATCTCGGACTGCACTCAATGTGTCGATACTTTTCTTAATTGTATAAGGCAATTCTGACGGAACCATAGTTGTTACAGTTGTTATATACAGTTAACTGTAGAGTATGGGTAGCGATTTCGTAGGTGATTTTTGAGTATAAAATAATCAACATGGTATTTTTTTGAATACGAATTTTATTTATGGATTAATAGCGCTTATGACACGTATATATATGTCAGATACTTATATTAGACCGGCTCTGAGTCTTGGTGGTTGCGGACAGGTGTACCGGGGGCGTTATACTTACTATTTGTTGCGCAACATCACGGATTTTGATCTAATTTCTTAGATGTATGTAAACGATTGACAGACGATGTAGCTAGCGTGTATTTGTTATAAACGTTATACTGCACACAGTTTGGATTTCGTGAGTTTTTATTGTCGCAATTTCGTGAAAAAAATACGCCCAGTGGTACATGTAGTGATATTTGATAAGAAATATTCGCTGTTCGGTTGAGTTCGAGGATCCTTCGTACCACGAAAATAAATGTAACAAAAATAAAGTAAGATTAACATTAGGCTCAAAAACGTACGTGTAGCTCAATAAGGCTTCGTTAATCTCGTGCAACTCGATAGGAATGTTCAATTAAGCATTGAACTGTTTTTGTATGGTATTTATGATCTATTTGAATGACACAGCTTTGCAAGCAAACAACATAATGCGCGCTAGCGCATTATGATTTGCTTGCGTGCCAAGCTGTGTCATTCAAATAGATTATAAATACCATACAAAAACAGTTCATAACTTGTGTTTACGTTTTCTCTGCCTCTTATGTTCTTTTTTAACTGATAATTTATATTTAAGATTGAAAATGCCCGCCTTATTGAGTCCACGCAATTTCGTTTAATAGTTTGAACAGCGTATTGTCGCGTGCTGATTGGCAAACAAAGTAGTGCTTTGAAATTTTAACAAACACTTCAATTTTATTCCACAATTCAGTATCAATACAATTGCGTATGATATGTCTATAGGGTGATTTAAGTTTATCAATAGAACTCTGAGCTAAAAGTTAGATTTGAAATTATTTCGATTTTTCTCCGGAACAAATTTCGCGCATGGACAAATACAGTGAACACCGTAAATCCGACCTTGCCCTCCACGAGGGAGTAATTTTTGGAAGTTAATTCCGAACTTTTTTCTTTGCTCATTTTGTGAATAATCCAGACTTGAATTAATTTGTTAATTGTATGGGAACCTGACAACAGTCGGTAGATTCTATAACGGCCTCGTTATTTGACATGTCGTCAGAAACTGAGGAACCGTGGATGCGAGACGTGTGAAACTGATAGCGTTTGAAGTGAGTGATCTTGCGACGGAGCACAGGTTCGTTACACATGTCTGAAATGTTTATTTGTGCTGTGACTCATATCAGTAGGTATGTAACATGTGTGTCAGTAGGTCTATAGAATATGTGTATTTCAGACATTTGTAACGAACCCTGTTGATCAGTGCAGTGTGACAGACGATATTTCTGATAAATTGCATGAGCGTTAAAATTGTTTCCATTGCCAGCATTGGTGATTTCAACCGATGTGCATTTTGTACGATATTGCAGACCTTGGTCTTGCTTTCGTTGTAATAAAAGTGTTTTTTATTTTATTTTTTATTTTGCACATAAATTTACAATGACATTGTCAAATCTCACAACGCCGAGCGATATTTCAGCAGTCGACATGTTTATTTATATTGGATATTATAGTTCCGGTCAGTGTTGTATTAATACGCTAAGAATTGTGTCTCGTGATGCATGGTTAATTAAAGTTCCATCAACGACACAGCTTTCTTTAGGCTATATAGTGACAATGCCATGCAAATGTAAATATATAACAATTTGGCAACAGAATTCATGAAGCTTCAATCTATCGATATTTGTGATTACCAGTGAAAGAAGAAA